CACCTTCCCCACATGGAATTTTGGCCCTCTGTAAAAGACTACACCCCATCCCCACCTCTTCTCAAAACTTTTGTTCCTACCATTCCTCCCAGTAGGATATGGTTGGTTGTGAAAACACTGCTTTCTGAAAGGGGACTCCCAGGATCTGCAGGAACCAACAATTCAGGACTATCTGCCATGCCTGTCCTAGGTGTGCCAACACAGGATGGGAGGCAACAGATGTTTCTCAAAGAGAAGCCTTCACGACCCAGGGCAAAGGGCACACCTCTGTTCATCTGCAAAACGTGGTAACCCCAAGTTTTAGAAGGCTATGCCCTCCCGCTGATCTATGGTCTTGGGTAGATAGTACCTTGGGAAAATTAACATGTTGCTCCCCAAGTTACAGAACTGCCCCACACTTGGGGAAACATCTAGAAACAAAGCATGTTGGCTGGTGGAGCCATTTCTGGCTGTGGTCTAGATACACTCTTCAGAAGTATTGTAAAGTTCCGAAAAATCCATATATAAGCAGTGTCCATTGAGCACCTCCTTCAAGCACATGGTGCCACGTTTAATGAGATGCAGCAATGACAGGAGGGAACACTCACCCAGCACTTCCCGTTTTCAGTCTGACTATTTGGCCTCTATAACTCAACCCTTTCAGCCGCCCTATGACTTCAGCACTAGCAGGATGCTTGTTTTGTGAAGACAAAGCCTGGAGATTTAAGAACTGGTCAAGATCGTGAAATAAAAGCTGAGATTCAGAACGCAGCAAAGTGTGTCAGTATTTTGCGATGATCAAAACCCCTCCATGGGGCCTGATCGAAATAGTGCTTTCACTGCAACTTTCCTTTACTTTCCTCCACGATTAGAGCCCACTGCTGTCAATCCTATGGCATTGCCCTAGTTAAATGTTCATCTTGGTCTACAAACTAAGTGAAGGCAACTGCAAAAATAGCACATCAGCCTCCATGTTCTGGTAGGAATTGCAACATACTTGCATCATCTCAAAGTCAGTTTCTGCACCCTTGAGTCATTTTTCCCCATGGGAACATCAGCCACCCTGAGCAAGAGTATTCCCTATGTATAAGGGATCCCTCAGGTGAACTAATGTAGGAACACAGGCATGCCTGAGGCAGGAGGGACACTGGTGCCACTCTCTACCTGGAGGTCTGTGAGTCAAGGGAGCAGGAAGTCAGCTAGTACAGTTGAGACACCCAAGATGCTACATTAAAGATCCACTAAGAAAACTAGTCTATTGTTCCCGGCTGCTTATCTCAACTCCATCATTAGCACTGAACTACACAACTTCAAACTCCACTGTACGATGTAGCATATTGGCTGCAGTTTGTAAGACTTTAGTCTTTAAGCCTGTAAACTACAGAAGACCCGAGACTGGATTCTTTTATCCTCATTCTCTAGGACTATTTTGAGCTAATAGTTAAGGATTTATTAAGGAATGAAATTAGAATGTTTATTGGATACAGTCACAAACCTAAAATCTGGGTTTTATTCGTCTTTGGCACACAACATTCTTTAAAGAAATCATTTATCATTTTATTGGTGTAAAACCCAATAAGATTAAACAAACCTTTTGTTTAAACTACATGGCTTAGGAAAGGAAAATATCAAGTTGTGGGAAAAGCTGACAGCCACAGAAGAGCAATACCATAACATGTGCTTGGTTCGGCTGCAATAAATTCATAGTTATGATCAGAGTCGGGGTGTGATTTATCTGAACTACTGATCCCACTTCAAATGCCAAGCAGATTTGTTCACTTTAAACTCCTCACTTAAAGCGGTCACTGGCATTACTGCAAGAGCATTTAAACTGGGGATTCAGCACAAATGCACCTTGGAGGTAGACAGTCTACAAGGACATCAACCGAGACTGAGAAAATCCTAAAGTGAAGGAAAGCTATGCATTTATGAAACCAGTTTTGCATACAATAAAGTCAGTTACCCAAGGCAGACCTCAAGGGAAATAAAGAGATTACTGTGGATAGATGTGGATGGTTTGGTTTCTTATGAAACCATCTTGAAATGCAGCGCCATCCGAATTTAGTCTGCCTTAGATCCTAGATCTGGAACATTCATCCCATCCATAGGTACCTCCAGGATGATGACAGGGCCCAGGCTTTGAAGCCAGACCAACCTGGATCAAGTCTCGGCTCTGAGACCTTAGCTTTGAGATAGTGGGCATGTTACTTAGTCCCATTTAATCCCGTTTCTGGTTCCCCTTTGCAAGACTAGTAGTGCAAATGCTGAAGTGTGGTTCTGTGGGTTAGTGTATGGGAAGTGCATAGGAGAGTGCCAGGTTACCAGGCAATTGTTCTACTTTTCACTCATAAGATGCCAAGAGCTGAAAGGTGCTTAGGTGAAGCCACAGGAGTTTCAGGGATAGGGAGACTACTTCGAGTCCACCTTTAAGTCATGTAGGTCACCATACACTTTTGGTTATCATGGCAGATCAGATCTCACCTACCATGCTTGTTTTAGTTACATCTACGTTCCATATCAGTAACTGAAAAACACTTTAACAAGTCAAGTTCTCTTGTGCTGATAAACATTCACCAAGAACACCTGGAAAGGGTGGGATTGTACCTAGTCCACATTCTCTGGGACTTTAATGTTACATAACCCATCAGTCAAGCCCTTGCAGAGTGATTTCCTGGCAAGCAGGTGGTTCTTATTTTAGGTTAATTTGATGAAAGTGCTAACTGCTCGCTCTTCCATGGATAGTCCCATGCTCCTAATAATGGGTCCACAATCAATTTACTCTGCGTTCCAGGATTGCAAACCCTGTTTTCTAGAGCAGTGCTTCAAGGTTTGGGGAAAAAAAAGGACAAAGAAATTTTTTTATTTTTTAGTTTTCAGCAGACACAACATCTTTGTATGTAGTGCTGAGGATCGAACCCAGGCCGCATGCATGCCAGGCGAGCGCGCTACTGCTTGAGCCACATCCCCAGCCCCTCCATCTCATTAATAAATCATAATTTGTATCTTAATCTACAGATTTAGGGGTCTGGGGAAGCTCTTAAAATTTTGATTAACACCCAGATGATACAATGGGTTTCTAGACTACACTTGAAGCAGCAAGGGCCACAGGCCCAGGACCATCAGTTCTCAACCAAGGACACGGCCTTCTGCCATGCTCAAGGCTCCAGAGCACGATGAAGGTATCAACTGCCAACTGAGATGAAGTTACGGGAATAGTGTAAGATTAATGGAATGGAATGCCCATGGAACTCGACTTCCATGGAGCTGGGGGGCATGTGAATCTAAAAACTAGAGTAAATTCTGAGGGACTTTTTCCAAGCTGAAAACTCTCTCCCACCCGGAAACTCCTTACTCTTTTCCTCGAGACCAAAATACCCTCTGCTCCCAATACACTTTGTTTACTGACAGCTACCCCACATTCGCAGGCACTGATAGTGTGTGGTTAAGATGGGGCAAGAAATATTTAGGTGTATGGCAACCTAAATAGCTTGTCGCTTTAAGAAATTTGAAAAAAAAGTTGGTAGTAATAGCATAACCATCAGGCATATCAGATTTCTGAAACCCTGATGTGCACTGTGCAAACTTTCACCAATTTGTGAAGTCTGACCTTTTAGGACTGAATGAACAAAACATCAGACATTTTCCATGTTAACGGCTTTCAACGGCAGTGATGGCAAAACATGTCCTGAGGACAACTGTGGTCGGTTGTGTGGGGCTGGAACTAGGCAAGCAATCCTGCTCCCCACCCCACCAGGTCATTTCACCAGCTGGGCCACTGTGCTCACCCAGTTCTAACCACTGAAAAGTCTTTACCAGCTAAGTCAAACATCTTTCATCCTCTAACACCTAGTTCAGTCATCACCCTCCATGTGACAGGAGATGGGACCTTTCCCAAGCCCAAGCAGCTAGCGATTCATACAGGTGATGGTTATTTCATTGCTATTCCCAAAGCAATTTAAAACCATGAGCACGAATGTAACTGATGGTACCTTTGAACCACAAAATTAACCAGCCCTAGAGCCACTGTACATCTGAGCCTTTGAGCTCGTGGAATGAGACTGCTTGCAGCCAGAGTGTTCTGATTGACTCAGCAGCTACAACATAAAACTTCAAGTACAGTCCTGGGATTTGCTGTTGCCTTTTACTACCCAAAAGTTATCCCAGTATACTAAACAGTGTTGAGTCTCAGAGGCAGATTTTGGTATAAGAATGTGATCCCAGTAACTTGGGTAGTATCATTAAAAGGCAAACAACCGACGTGTACAGGTGTGTACCCCCTAAGTCCAGAGACTGGATCAGAAGCCAAGAATTGAATGAGGAAAATTCCAAGTCGGCCCTCACCTCCAAAATGCTGTAAGCATAAACCGCAGTTCTCCCCTTTGGGAGAGAAGAACCAACTGTTCTTACCTCCTGTTGGTTGACAGGAGCCACCTGGGAAACATTATGAAATTAGATTCCTTAGTTCTAACAAGCAGCCAAGTGATAGATATGACACCCAGGTGTGTTCGGTCACATTCATAAAAAAAAAATCATTTTTCTGGTGTCAACAATCTTGACGTTTGTTTTCTTCACTGGAGAACATCAACCACCCACGATTCTCCCCCACAGGCCTTGTCAGTGATACACTGTCCTGACACAGGTCAAGAGACAGTTAAGTGCAAGTCTTTCCTTGTTGACTATTTTCAAAATAAGAAACATTTACCTTCGCCATGCCCCACCGGTTACACCCACAGTTCAACCCATTCTCCTTGCAACTCTTTCCTTTTCGATCTCCACCAAGCAAGAATTTCAGAGGGTGATTATCATTCCCAGGGTTTTAGGGCACTCCAGATGCAACTCCGTTGTCCTTCATTGCTTTGGCTCACCCATAACAAAGGTTTGCACCAAGGAGAAGGCACCCAGCACGTCCCAGGGTAAACACAGCCCCAGTTTGGTAGCGCGTCTCCACACCGCTCCTTTACAGCGCGGCGTTTCCCTTGTAGGGTGCGCAGCGGCGGACTCCGCAGAGCCCCGGGGCTTACCTGAAACACGTCGTGAGTTCGCCTGAAGACTTCAAACACGGGTATTTGGTTGTAGAAATCTTGTTTTCCGAGCAGATTTCTCTATGAGAGAGTTGGGGGGGGGGGGGGGGGTCGGGACGGGGCGAACGGGGGGCGGGGGGCGTGGGATCTGCGTCCTGGCGCGCGGAGCAGGCGCGGGTCCCCGAGCGCGTAGCCACCAGCCAGAAGAGGCTCACAACCGGGCGACCTCGGTCCCCAGCGAAGAGGAACGCTGTGGAGGCTGGACGCAGGGAGACGCAGCGCCCCAGCCCACGGACACGGGGAGCCCAGGCTGCTTGCTCCACGGGAGCGGAGTTACGAGTCGCCCAGGGCAGATGGGCAGCCTGCAGGAAGCCAGAGGAGCCGAGGCGTGCGGAACTCCGAAGGTGGGCGGGGGGAGGACCGCCGCACCCCGCAGGAGCTCGCCCACCGCTGGCGCTGATTGCGCTTACCTGTCGCTGTCCTCGGAGTTCTCCCGGTAGGTCCACGTGTGTCCCAGCGCCAGGAGCAGCAGCAGCGGACCCAGGCTCCGGCCCAGCTGCCCCCGGACCGCTCCTCCCCGGCTCGGAGGAGGTGGCGGCACCATCAGGGAAGCTCCGGGCTTCTTCCCGGCGCCGGAGCTCTCTTCCCGCCCGGCGGTCGGGCTCCTCCGTGGCCGCCGCTTTCTTTCTCCCCGGCAGGGGGCGCCAGAGAGCGGGGGCGTTTGCACCACCTGTACAAAGCGCAGGGTCTGTAGGGGGTTACCGGGCTGGGGGTGTCAGGCTGGGAGTCCCGGTACTGAGTGCAGGCTCCGCAGGGAGGGCGTTTATCTGCCGGCGTGAGGATCCCAGGGCCAGGGCTGCCAGTTAGGACGTTCGCGCTGGATTGACAAGACTGGCTTGACTTGGCCCTGGACTCGCCCTCCACTCTTCCTCCTCTGGGAGAGGAGAGCCGGGTGGGGAAAACAGGCGGCTGTTTGCATTATGCATCAGGGTCGCACGCCTAGGAGGAGGAGCCGATTCTCACCCCGGGAAAGGGGAGGGGAGGAGAGCGATTAATAGGCTTCCTTCCTGCTGTCAGTTGATTTCTAAAGCCTAGGGTCAAGCCGAGGTTTGACTTTTCCCTTTGAGGACCTGCACTGTGCTTTTCAGCTACCCCAATTTTCCTCCTTTTAGAGCACGGGAGGAGGAAGCTTAAAAGGCTGAAAGAGTCTCCCCAAGAGTCTCCCAAATCTTTTACAGACCTGAAATAGTCCTACTGACCAAGTGGAAGTTTTCATTAAAGTCCCCTCGAAGAAAATCCTCCAGTTTCACTTGTTGGTAAAACTTGCCGCAGCTTCCCCCATAACTCCGAACGCGCACCACCCTCGCGAGGTGCTCGCCCTGAGCAGCTTTTATCTGATTTTCCACGCCACGCACAGCATCAGCAACGCCTGGCCCATCAGCAGAGACACCTGGGTGAACCGGGCGGGCACGTGAATCACAGGTCCTGCTACGTGCTGTTTGAGGCAGCCCTGTTTACAGGTACCTTGTAAAACCAGGGAGGGAAGGGTATTGTGATCCGTATAAGTTAGCTCTTAACACTAGAGCACTTCAGGAGTTTTCTGTGCTTGTCAAAGAGAAATCTGAGACAGAGATGTGGACCACAGAACCAAGCAAGTGGTGGTGGCCAAGAATTAATTTGGAAAAGCAAAAGATTTTAATGCCCCATCTGTAACATCTGTGCGTTCTGCCTCTCAGGACTATGTGAGAGGGTAGCTTTGCTCACAGTCATCCTGTGCGCATTGGTTAGCTAAGACAGGTGTTTTGATTTACCTGAAATTCTGGTCAGCTGAAAATTTTCATGCACGTCACATAACACGCTGACATTTTTGATAGCAAAGATATTCTCATTCCTCTGTAGAAAGCTTTGTATTTTTCCAAAGGTTTTCCACTTTCCCAATTTGATTCTCACAAAATTCCTTGGACCTAAATATCTCATTTCTTAGTTCAATACGGTGGCTTTTTTTCCCTACAAAGCTTACAAAGAGAGAGGAGATGTCCATATAATGCTTGATATTAAAATATGGTCCTGCTAGTTAACAAAAAAACAGTTGATTTTCAAATGGTAATTCAAAAGACACTTCAGAATCTTACAGAACTTTGAGAGTAACCATTTTGAGGTGAGGGGAAAAACCTGGATTTAAACCCAGGCAGTGTGGTTACCTAGATGAGTGAGCAGGCAGTAATTTAACTTTTTGAAATGCAGTTTTCTCATTTGTGAAATGGGGAACTCTCCCTCTTAAATATTTATAATGCAGTAATGCCTATAAAGCATTTTTACACAGTGCCTGGCATATATTGCAGCTCAGGAGATTTTAACTCATTATTTTACACATAAATTATTGCACAGCATGAAAATTGAGGTTTTAGGTTTCTAGATTTCTAGCTTTTCACTTTTTAGATAAAGAGGAGCCTATTTCACAGCAGTTCTTTGAGTTTCTAAAGAGAGACCTCACTAAGCACATGAAAAATAAACCCATCCTGGAGTTTATCAAAACTGATCACTTTAAATTGTGCCAGAAAAGTGCTTGATCCCATCTTGGAAGGGAAAGGTCATCTTTCAGGCAGAAGGTTCCATATTTATTTTCTTAACAGTTACTCTGTTTTGAAAACTTGCCATTTTTTTTCTCATCTTGTTTTGTTTTGCTACTATTGCATTACGGATACTGGTTCTATATAGAGCATGGTATAAGAGATTAGTTATTGGATTCGTTAAATAGTACTTACTGAGCCACGTGTGTGGACATGTAGCCTTTCAAGAAAAGTAATGCAGGCTACAAAAAGATTTAAAAAAAAAAAAAAACCAGAGCCATGTCCATTATATGAAACTGTGTGGCACAAAATTGTGTCAGAGCTGCTTATTTTTGGTCCTCTATGCCCAGCACCTATGAGGAGGAGGGGCTAGATACTCTGCAGAGAAACTCCAGATTTGCCTGGGGAGGAATCTTATGGGTGGGTGATCAGAGCATTTCTGCAAGAAGTGAGCAACTGAGACACCTTTTAAAACCCTTTGGCTGCAGGCCTGGAATATCAACCCATTTGGTAGCTACTGACAGCAGACATTAATTGTTGAGATGAGAGAGGGAGGAGCTTGGGCCAGAATGCAGAGCCTAGCGGAAGGAGCTGTGGAGGACCATATATGGATTCCAGTTACTGAAAAGTTAAACAGTCCTGCAAAAGACAAATTGCATTTGCTCAGGCTGCAGGCTGGGAGATGCTAGTAAGTGCCTAGGCTGCATGTGGTAGTCTTAGGTTTTCTGTCCTCATACCCATGCTCTCTCCAGGACCTCCCAGACCCATGCGAGCCCAGTTCATCTGCACCATCACCTCATCTATGAACCCCTGGTGTGAGAGAACCTGCCCCTTGCTCCTTCATAGCCTGTTGCAAAGATTAATGATATGGACCTAAATGCTCCTGGGGGGAGGTGCTGTGTGGATGTCTTTTCAGTAATGTTTTCCATATAGACCTGTCAGCTGCCCTGAAACAAACCAGAGATGGGAAAGCTATGCAATTCACCAGCATGTCCTAGGGGCTTGGGGCTGTGCCCAGGGCTCTTAGAGCAGTCTTTGCTACAGGTTAGATTCCCCTGTGGAACTGATATTGTTAAGAAGTAACTGCTAAATGTTGCCTGGGGGTGGCTGAGATTGGCTGGCTGGAAGATAGAAGCCAGTATTCAAAAATAAAGTGGGGAGGGGCTGAGGATATAACTCAGTGTGATACGGTGATTTTTAGCAAGCATAAGGCCCTGAGTTGATTCCCAACATCATGGGGGGAAAAAGAGAAAATAAAAAATTAGACCACAGGGTAGGTTCTGAAAGCACTTCAACATCTTTATGTATAGTCTTAGAAAAGAAAGATCAACAAAAAAGATAACATGCTATAAAGAACAGACTACACTAATTGGGACATTTAATTTCCCAAATATTTAATTTTCCTTATAAAAAATATTTGTGGTGACTCACAAAAATACACTAATTTTTAGTGCTTGCATATAAAATAAGGCAGTTCAGGCAAAGGAAAAATCAAGATTGAATAATAAAGCCAAAGTAGCATTCAAGTCCTGTGCTATGTTTAAAGCAGATCACAAATCAGTTTTCAGATTCTCAGAAGACAGTTCAGGACAATTGCATGATGAGTTATAAAAGTCCATGTAACCATAAGCAAAGGCCTATCAACTACTTTTTTAAAATGACAGATGTTTCCTGCTGTTCTCCCTAACATGTAGCAACAGTCTCCTGTCTTTAAGGTAAAGGCCTTTCATAGAATCAAGATTCAACAAGGGTAAGCCAAGTTCACGCTGTACTGCAAGGGATCGACATGATAAGATGGACCCCAAATCATCAGGTGACAGAGATAGCTTCCTCCAGTTTCAGTTTTGATTGACATACAGCCAGGTCTGCTTAGAGAATTAGGGCTACATCTTAAAAGTGTTGGAGTGTGCCAGTCCCCAAGCCAGTGTGAAGGATAGCTTGAGGCAAGAAGAGTCAAAATGTTCTTAGTACAGTAAATGGGTTGGAAAGCCCTGGTTTGGAGGTGTGTCCCTTACCTCTGCACTAAGACAGCCTTAGCTTTAACTTGCACAAGTTCTGAATGTTGTTGAAGGTGTGGGTCTCTGGAATTTTCTCCCAAGACAGGAAGAAATGTTTCACACAGTCACACAATTTGTGCCCGATTTTGAAGTAAAAGCAACTTTTAAAGATTAGTCAGCTTTATGTACAGATATGCAACTTTTAGGGGGGAAAAATGCAAACAATACAGAAAGAGGAACTTCTTGCTCCTTGGTTGCATGTCTCAAGAATATGAAGAAAAATGACATGCTTTGGATGTCACATTTGTTCCTGAAAGTTCTAACACACACACACACACACACACACACACACACTGTGTCCCAGTCTAGAAGTCTAGGGCTTCTCCTGAAGGAAAATCTTTTGCAATAATAGGGGTGAGCGGATAGGAGTCAGCAGTCTCCTTGGCCAATCAGATGTGTAGGATCACACCTGGGATTTTTTTGGTTGGAGAAGTCTGTTCTAGACATAATTCAATTCTGCAGTTTGTTTTGCCACTACTGGGGGCTGCAGGACATTGGCTGGGGTGGCTCCTCTTACAGTCCCCACAAGCAACAATAAGGAAGAACAAGGGACCTTCAATGAGGGAGAACTGCTGGCCCCCACTGGGCAGTCTCTGGTCTAGATATTGGTGTTCGACTTATTTCAGGATTTGTGAGTTGATTCCTTTAAGTGTCTGTCATTCATCATCTCCTTCTTTTTATAGAACTAACCCTGTTTCTATTCTTTAAGTCTATGAGGAAAAGTGTTATTTAACACTGATTGAGAACTGGGAGAGGCTGGGGTTGTAGCTTAGTGGTAGAGCGCTCACCTAGCATGCACAAGGCACTGGGTTGGATCCTCAGCACCACATAAATGTAAAATAAAGATATTGTGTCCACCTAAACTTAAGAATAAATATTTAAAAAAAAAAGAACTGGGAGAACTGAGCTCAATAATATGGTATCAAGCCAATTTGATAGGTAATAAGAAGGTTGACTTTAACATTTTTCTGATATAA